ACCAGGGAAGCCCAAATCTTTTTAAGCTTATACATTTATTTGAAGAGAATTGACATTGTCACAACTAGATTTTTCTTCTAGAAAAGTGATAGGTTCATACATTTGTTCGTATCTTATTTTGTGTATTTCAAAAAGATTTTTCTAGTTCCCATCATATTGAATAAAATGGGATCCTAACATAACAGAGAGCCTAGAAATAAACCCACACACCTACAGGCAATTAATCTTCAACAAAGGAAGCATTAATATACAATGGAGAAAAGATGGTCTCTTTAGCAAGTGGTCTTGGGAAAGCTGGACAGCTGCATGTAAAGCAATGAAGTTAGAGCACACCCTCACACCACACACAAAAATAAACTCAAAATGGTTTAAAGAGGGCTTCCCTGATGGCGCAGTGGTTGAGAATCTGCCTGCCAATGCAGCAGACACGGGTTCGAGCACTGGTTTGGGAAGATCCCACATGCCACGGAGCAACTAGGCCCGTAAGCCACAACTACTGAGCCTGCGAGTCTGGAGCCTGTGCTCCGCAACAAGAGAGGCCGTGACAGTGAGAGGCCCGTGTACCGCGATGAAGAGTGGCCCCCGCTTGCCGCAACTAGAGAAAGCCCTTGCACAGAAACAAAGACCCAACACAGCCAAAAATAAATAAATAAAATTTATTAAAAAAAATGGTTTAAAGATTTAAATATAAGACATCATATCATAAAACTCCTACAAGAAAACATAGGTAAAACATTCTCTGAGATAAATCATACCAATGTTTTCTTAGGTCATGCTCTCAAGGCAAAAGAAATAAAAGCAAAAATAAACAAATGGGACCTAATCCAACTTATAAGCCTTTGCACAGCAAAGAAAACCATAAACAAAATGAAAAGACAACCTACAGAATGGGAGAAAATATTTGCAAATGATATAACTGACAAGGGCTTAATTTCCAAAATATACAAACAGCTCACAGAACTCAATATCAAAAAAACCTAGCAACCCAATCAAAAAATTGTCAGAAGAACTAAATAGACATTTCTCCAAAAAAGACATGGAGATGGTCAAAAGGCACATGAGAAGATGCTCAAAATCGCTAATTATTAGAGAAATACAAATCAAAACTACAACGAGCTATCACCTCACACTGGTCAGAATGGCCATCAACAAAAAGTCTACAAATAATAAATGCTGGAGAAGGCATGGAGAAAAGGGAACACTCCTACACTGTTGGTGGGAATGTAAATTTGTGCAGCCGCTATGGAGGTTCCTTTAAAAACTAAAAATAGAGCTACCATATGATCCACCAACCCCACTCCTGGGTATATATCTGGAAAAGATGAAAACTCTAATTTGAAAAGATACACGCACACCAATGTTCATAGCCACACTATTTACAATAGCCAAGACACAGAAGCAGCCTAAATGTCCATTGACAGATGAATGGATATATATATATATATAATGGAATATTACTCAGCCATAAAAAATAACTAAATAATGCCATTTGCAGCAACATGGATGGACCACCTAGAGATTATGATACTAAGTGAAACAAGTCAGACAGAGAAAGACAAATATCATCTGATATCTCTTATATGTGGAATCTAAAAAAAATGATACAATTGAATTTATTTACAAAACAGAAATAGACTCACAGACAGAAAACAAACTCACAGTTACCTAAGGGGAAAGCAGGGGAGGGATAAATAAGGAGTTTGGGATTAACAGATACAAGCTGCTATATACAAAATAGATAACCAACAAAGTCCTGCTGTATAGCACAGGGAACTATATTAAATATCTTGTGATAACCTATAATGGAAAAGAATCTGAAAAAAATATATATATATATCTCACTTTGCTGTACACCTGAAACTAACACAGCATTGTGAATCAACCAAACTTCAATTTAAAAAATGGGATCCTATCCATTTCTCTTTTTTTCCAGCTTTACTAAGATATAATTGGCATTTAACATTGTATAAGTTTAAGATGTACAAAATGTTGTTACAAACTGTAAAATTATTACCACCACAGTATTAGCTACCATCTCCATCCCATCATATAGCTACCATTCCTTTTTTTGTGTGTGCTGAGAACATTAAGTTCTACGCTCTTAGCATACAAATTACAACTTTTAACCAATGTAACTACCTTCTAGTTCCTCATGGAGGTAACTGTAGGCAAGTAACTGAATATGGTTTGAAATACACAAACATTTAGCTACGAGCAAAGCAAACATAAAACTTCCTATGGCCACACACATCCCTTTTAAATTTCTTAAAGGGGCAAAACTGAACATACACATTAATATACCCCAAAGGCTTATCTACTCTCAAACATAAAAATAAGAAGCATGTGCGGTGTGTGTGTGTGTGTGTGTGTGTACATACCATGCTTGGTGACCAATGTTTTTGTATTCTATCTTCCTTAGAAATTATTCAGCCATCTAAAGATTATTCACCAACTTACTTGATTTAATATCAGTCAAAATTCTTAAAGGCTTTGGAAATTATGTTTAAGCTGATATATTACAGAGTAACATAATCACAAATGACATAAACAATTTAGGAAATTCAGGTTAACTACAGTCTCCATGATAAAACACTCTCCATCACTGTATCACAATAACTTGTTGTTAGTCTTCATGGTTTCACAAACTGATATCATCTCGCTTATTTATTTGTTTACTTACTTATTGTGAACATTTTACCACTAGATGTAAACACAATAAAGAAAGAGAATTTGGGGCTTCCCTGGTGGCGCAGTGGTTAAGAATCCGCCTGCCAATGCAGGGGACACGGGTTTGAGCCCTGGTCCACGAAGATCCCACATGCCGCGGAGCAACTAAACCTGGGTGCCACAACAACTGAGCCTGCGCTCTAGAGTCCACGAGCCACAACTACTGAAGCCCCTGCGCCTAGAGCCCGTGCTTCGCAACAGGTGAAGCCACTGCAATGAGAAGCCCGCGCACTGCAACGAAGAGTAGCCCCCACTCGCCGCAACTAAAGAAAGCCGGCCCACAGCAACAAGGACCCAACACAGCCAAAAATAGATAAATAAATAAATAAATTTAAGGAAGAAAAAAAAAAAAGAAAGAGAATTCGCCTTCCTTGGTGACCAGAACATGTAGGAGACTTTCAATGAACAGTTTTGAATAAAGAAATATATGAATACTCAATAATTGTATCAGACAGGAGGAATAGGTCTCATTTTACTACTTTACAAGTGAGGCAACTGAGGCATTAATGATCATTTAGCTACTGAGTGACAGACTCAAAATTTTGGTTTCCTGATTTCTAACGCAACATACCACATTATTTCTCACAACTAAATAAATGCTCATGTGCAAGTGAAAAATATACAAAAGAAAATATACTGAAGAAGAATATTCTTGCACAGATGTGATTCACAGAGAGGGTATCAGAAATGGATTGCATCCTAGTGGGGGCACCTTTAGGCAGTGCTTTGATAGAAGCCAATGTCATCAGACTACAGCTTCTTTTATTCAAACTCCCCCCACTATGCGGGGGGAGGAGGGTGGAATCTCCCAGTAAGTATTACTTATTTCTTTGAGTTCCTGTTGTTTTTCCCTTTGGTATACTTGTAATGGAGGATTAAGAAAGAGAAATGTGAGTTGTCCCCTGATTTTTGTTGTAACAAAAGCTTGTTGCTGAAATTAGCTATTCTCCCCCTCCTACTACCCCAACACAGCATCCATTATTCTTCCCTTCCAAAGCTGTCTTGGTGAAATCAGCCCAGCTGAGACACCAGACCTAATGTGGGATATCTCCCATAGGATATTCAAATTTCTTCTTCTGGCTTGCCTTTTGGGTGCCAGGGCAAATCATTATGAAAGAGAGACTGAGACACTGTCAAATGGGAAAGGCAGACCAAGCCTGGCTGCAACTGGCTCTGTTCGGGGCCTCTTCATTCTCTAAGAAGGAAGCCAGTGTTTATACAGGGCACATGGAGTTACCAGCTGTCCATGCAAAGGAACCTCTGCCCCCTTCCACTAACCAGGGAATATTTTGTATTAAGTTGAGATTATCCTCCTTTAACTTTTTATTTTTCCCTGTCAATAGTTTTGTATTAAACTACTCAGAATTGTGTGGTACTTGTTTTTAGGATTCCATACTTCTCTTTTCATTAAAATATGCTGTTGAGTGACAATTCCTAGAATTTTCGTCAAATAACTTCTCATGTCAGTCCCCTTCATCCTCATTGCTTGCCCTCTAAAAAACTGGCATCTGGTAGTGATGATTTAGAAATCATTTCTGCTCACCTCATTCCTGATTCAGAGAAAAGAGTAGGGGTTAAGTCCGGCGCTTACGCCATATGAAATTTGGTCCTGAGCAAGTATGGTTCCTACTGTACATATCTACTGGGCAAAGGAAGAAACTGAAACACAGCTGGGCTCCAAGACTCCTCAAGTTTGCACTGATGGTCAAGGCCTGAGCTCCTGTCTTTTAAAATAGTAAAACTGAAGAACGCTGGGCTACTGAATTAAATATTGTAGGTGCCGAGATGGGACTGGGAGTCCCCTTCACTGGGTAGATCACAGAGGTGTGTAGGAGATTGCAGAGTTGGCACTGTCCTTGTGGAAGATGGGTGGGGAAATGGTAGGGCCTGGGAGGCCTCTCAGACACTGAGCTCTAATGGGCCTCAGATTGGGCCATTTCACTGTTATCACAAAATAAACAGGAGGCACAGAGGCACGTTATAGCAGGCAACCAAGCAATGTCATTCATGCTGGCCCTCCAACCCTGTCCTCACAACACGACTGGGAGACAGGTGTTCCTGTCCTCATTTTACAGAGAATGCAAGAGTCAGCGAGGTGAAGCCTCTTGTTAAGGATCCTACGCTCAGTACATTGCAAAAGAGGAGCTTTGAGTTCTGCTCCTCCATTCAAACCTCCTTCCAAAGCCAACTCCAACCAAAGGGCTAGACTTTCCCATGTGTAAGACTACAGCTGGAAAGGATCACAGAGGACACATTTTAGGTCAATTCTCTCTGTTTACAATACAAGAGAGTGGAGACCCTCGACAGAAGTGATTGCTAAGGTCACAAGGCGAGTGCGTGACAAGTGGCACTCTCGGAACCCCAAGACTCGGTTTCTTCTTTACTGTGCAGCCCGCTGGGGAGGCAGGGGGAGGAGTTGAGCCGGGCTGCAGCTGCCGAGGCCCCCGCGTTCCGGGGGCGGTCCCTGGCGGCCGCGCATTCCAGAGCCTCCAGAGCCACCCGAGCAGAGCGTGCCCCGTGCCCAGCCGCGCGTCCCGGCCACTGCTGCGCGCTCCCGCCTGCCCGGGGCTTGGAGCTACGGGGCACATTCGGGGCCGAGATCCCGGGGCTAGGGGTCGCATCCCACTGCTAGGACCCGTACCGTCCGAGGAGACCTGGAGAAGCGTTCCGGCTGCCTCTACCCCAGGAACTTTTCGCAGACCTGGCACGATCCAGCAGCGGCGGGGGCCGTGGGTTTTCAAAGGAGCTGTGCGGATCCAGGGTGAGTGGGGTTATTAAGTGTAGTGCCTGGGACTCTGGCTCTCGTGCTGCCTCTACCCCAGTGCCTTCCCAACTGCCCTCTTTTCTTCCACATTTCTCCCCCTTCATCACTTTTGCTTTTCTCTTTTCTCCTTCTGTCCGCCCCTAAGTTCCAAAGACCTTCGGCGCTCGATCTTGGGCTTCCCCGGAGGCCGGAGCTTGGATGGGTGGGCTCCCAACCCCACCGGAAACGGGCCTCTCTCGCGTTTCCCTGCTCCTGCCCGGGGTTGGGGAGCGCGACCCCTCCTCCAACAGGCTCTGCTACCTCTGCTCTCCAGGCGCGGCGTCAGGGCTCAGCTCCCCAGCCTGAGCACCGCTGTAGGCGCTGTGCCGGCAGTTTGGGTCCTTGCACCACCCAGAACAGCAGGCTATCTGTCTTACTTTTCTCAAAGTCCTGCGTGGAGGGCACCAGGGATTTGGAGTCAGGGGTGGTGGGTTCCAGCCCTGGTCTGTCACGAGCAGTTTCTCTGTGAAATGGAGAAAATACCCTTTGCATACAGATCAAATGAAAAGGGAACGTGCAAAGTAACTCGGAGAGAAGCCTTCCTCCCAAGCTCCCTCCTCCTGCCGCTTAGGACTTGGTTGTTCCAATTGCCAGTTCTCTTGCACCTCCGAACCCCCTTGAGTGTAGGGACTGTCTACACTCCTTGAGTGTAGGGACTGTCTCGCATCCTCAGCGCTTGGCACGGGGCCTGGTGAACCGGCGCCCGATACTGCCTGCTGAGTGAGAGAGAGATGTAAACCGTTAAAAACCATACAACTGTCAAGGTTGTTTTTTGGATTCAGTGGCCAGGCTGGGCTCTTATGCATGCAGCTCCACTTGTTTCTTCTTGACTCGTTTTAGTCTTGTTGGCACCTGGGAGCTCGAGTCTCACATTTGTCTATAGATTCCCTCAAAGCTCTAGGCTGTAGTGTTGAGAGCTGCTCACTTATTCAAGGATGAAAGGTTCCCTGATCATCTGCTATGATCTGTGGTCCCAGTGTGGTGGGTAAATAGTCCATAGTCCGGAAGGATTGTGAATGCTTGAATAGGGTGGGGCTGGGGGTTGGGTGAACCTTTCCCTGGGAGTCAGGAGACACTGAGTTACCTTGAGGGGTTTCCCTATCTGGACCTTGCTTCCCCCACCTATAAAATGAGGAAGTGGAGGTGGAAAAGTTGGGTGTCTGTGGTTAAGGGGGATGTGCTTCGGGGGTTATTCAGGGCACTCAGCAATCCTCTGAGCACATATGAGACAGCCCAGCTGAGCCTCAGGACATCATGTACTTCTGTCATAACAACAACCAAAAACAGCCATGAAGAAGCGTTTCTCTGCTCCAACCGAGACCTCCTGTTTCCAGCTGTCTTGGGGTTATGAATCTTGCCACGGGGGTTATAACTCATGCCCCATCAGATCTTCCAAACACTGACCTCTCAGAGCGTCAGAGCTGTGGGCTCCGCCGTCCCATAAAATGTCTGGGGATTCCCTTTCTCTGGCCCAGCCTGAGAATCACTGAGCCGTGGTGAGGTGTTTGAGACATAAATCAGAGACTCTGGGGACCAAGTGTGGTTGGGTCACATATTGGGCCCAGGGGTGCCAGACCAAGGGGGTAAAGAGGTAGTTACAGCCTCAGATGCTTTCCCAGCCATATTCTGATCCTTTTTTTTAAAGAAAAGTGCTTCTCAGAAAAAAATGACTCACAAGCAATTTTTGTTAGCAGTAGCTAGAGAATGGGTAACTGACCATTCTGGTGAATGTAGTGGTGCACCTGGTCCTTCTTGTGGCGTTTCTAAAAGAGGCCCCCGCAAAGATCCACCTTGTTGACTATCAGGTAAAATAAAAGAACATATTCTAGAGGAAATAATACCTACAGGACTTTAAAAAAAAAAAAATGCCACCAGAAAGCGTAGAGTCTGCTCTTCCAGACTCTACACTTCAAGCTCTTCAAGATCAGTGAAACACGGTATATTTGTAATAGATGTTCTGTTCCCCTACACAGAGGTGCCTGCTATACTGCCTATCACACTCTAACGAAATATTAGAATGCTTTAGTGAGACATGTACAAAGTTTCAAATAAATACATGAAGTGCAAAAAAAAAAAAAAAAGAAAAAGAAAAGTGCTTCTGTTTCTTCTCCATGGATTAAAGCATAAAAACACAGGAAATATTTCCAAGGAAAGAGGATCTTTATCTTGATTGTCTTACATTGCCACTATTGGCAGTGGTATCAAAGACGTGTACTCGCACTCACAGTTTATAAGAGTAAATGTACTCGCACTCACAGTTTATAAGAGTAAATGTTGGCATTACCACACATTGCTGACCCCCTCCCTGATTGGCCAGGTAAGCTGAATAATGTAATAATAATCATACTTGACATTTATTGAGTGCTTGCTATTAGCCAGGCATTATTTTAAGCATTTTACATAATGCTATGATATTTACCATAATCCTATGAGGTAGTGACCATCACTGCATCCATTTTATAGATGAGGAAAGTGAGATCCAGAGAGAGTAACTCACGCATGATCACACAGGAAGTAAGTGGCAGAGCTGCAATTTGAACCCAGGCAGTTTGGCTCCAGGGCCTGTGCTCTGAACCTCATTGCAGTTGGGGGGATCTGGATTCAGATCTTGCCTCTGCCATTTACTCACAGGGTGACCTGGGGGAGTTAAGTGAGAATTTGACAGCCACTGGACTAGTGAATCACTGCGGACCCTAGTACCCTTCCAACTCACTAGGGAAACAGACAGTGAACCTCAAGTGAGAGTGGTGTACATCTGGGAGTAAAGGCTAAGAGTTAGGGCAACTCTTAGCCTTAACTAAGGAAGGGCAACAGGTCAGAATTATAATTGCCTGGCACATTAAACAACAGCAGAACAGATTCAGTGACTAAATTGTGTGACTTTAAACTACTTAGTTGTGTGTAGATACAGCTTCCTTATTTTGTTGATTTGGACCCCGGTTGGCTGATTGGGCATGTGAATTGCTCGTAACCCACTACATAGGACCGGGGGAAAGAAATGGAGGAGGGAGAAGGAAAGACAGAGAAAACAACTGGGTTCCCCAAATCAGTTTCAATTAATGATGACATATATCTGTCACACACATCACTCCTCCTAATTCCCTGCCCCAGGCTGACACTGGTACTCAGGACTTTTCAACAAACCTCCACGGGGCAGGAGAATCCTTCTTAACACGGTGCTCTGGACAGCCTCTACGGACTGATTGTGAAGCGTCTGTCTAGCCCTCTCAGACTTCCCACTTCGTTCCTCTGGGATATGTATGGTCAAGGAGGTAACGAGGGGCAAAACAGGAGACCTTTCTTTTTGAGTGCCCCGGGTGGCATCTTAGGAAACACCCTGGGGCTTTTTAAAGATTAATCTTCTTTTTCCCTCAGTCTTCTCTATGTTTTCTTTAATGGTTTTCACCCCAACACACCATCCTGACCTGGGGCGGAGCTCTCCGGGGAGCAGACTCAGTCTTTGAGAGCTGGCCCCTTAGGGGGGTCACCTTGTCCATCCTCTCCTATTGACCTACAGGAAACTGAAGCTCACTTTGAAAGAGGGACTTACTGAGGATCACGTCCTGCATTCGTTTTCTAATGCTGTAACAAATTACCGCAAATTTAATGGCTTCAAATATATTGTATTACAGTTCTAGCAATCATACATCTGGCATGGATCTACCTAGAATAAGTCGAGGCCTCCTCAGCCTGCGTTTCTTTCTGGAGTCTTTAGGGGAGACTTGGTTCCCTGCTTATCTGAGTTGCTGGCAGAACTCAGTTCCTGTGGTTGTAGGACTAAGGTCACTGTTTTCTTGCTGGCTGCAAGCTGAGGGCCGGCCATTCCCTGCTTCTCAGGCCACTGCATTCCTTGGCGCATAGCCCCCTTCCTCCATCTTCAGAGTAAGTAACAGCCAGTCAGGTCCTTTCTCTGACTCTGCTGCCTTCCGCTTCACTTTTAAGGACGCATGTGATTAGACTGGGTTCACCTGGGTAATCCAGGATACTCTCCCCATCTCAAAGTCCTTAACTTTAATCACAGCTGCAGAGTCCCTTTGCCTCTTCCCCTGACTCCTCCCTCTGAGCCATGCGTCCTTGTTCATATTTAAGGTTTGAGGACCGGGATATGCACATCTTTGAGGGGTCATTATTCTACCTACCATACACAGCAAGGTCCACTTCAGCAGAGGGACTTGTTCTGGATCACACATCTCGGCAGGGGGTTCGCACCACTGTGGTGCCCTTGCAGCTCTATCACTGACACCCCTCCACCCCCCAGCCCCCCGAGAGCCGATCTCATGGAGGTCTCCTTTGTCAGCCCAGCAGCAGCAGGCACTTAGTCACTGGCAAATAACAATGATGGATGGTAGAGGCTTAAACAGGATGCTGTGGATTTGGCCCGGGTTTCTCCTCTGCTGGCTCCCTGTTGGTTTCTAAGACTCTGTTATTGGCCGGGTCAGATGGTACGTGCAGTCTTGAACAGCTCTGGCTGCTTTCTGATCTCTTTGAAATATCCTGGTGTTTTTCCATTTTTCCAGCCACAGAGAGCAGATAGAAACTCAGTCAGGGAACAAGTCTTTAGACTGTTAAGAATTTTGGAGGAGATAGAAGCCAACTGGGGTTAAATGAGAACAGAGTGCTCCTCAGGGACCTCGGGTCATTGGAGAAAGTCCTCTGATTTCCTTTTTTCACATTTTTGATAGTTGTGTGTCCTTCCACTGGCCCCTTTCTTTGGAACAAAGGTCCCTGGTGAAATGGACTCCTTGCTGAGTTGGTAAATAATTGAGGCTAACTATTACATAACACTGTTTCCAAGAGTAAATGTGAAGCTGGGATGGCCTTCTCACATTGGACTTGTCGTGAGAAATCCCCTTCCCTTTTATCAGCCTCTCTGTCCTCTTTGGAGAACAGAGAGAGAAAAGGCCATACTCCGGGCAGTAACCCCCCAACCCCTACACATCCACCTCAATGCCCAGCCC